GTGTGTATGTGCTTGTGTAAGTAGGCGGGTAGGAATGTATGCGTTTAGGTGGATGGGTGTGCAGGAGCGACGAAGTGAGGGGCTTTATATGAGATCATATAAAATGTTGTGTATTGAGGTGTACGGCAGAATGGCTAAATGTCCAGTTAGATGGCTGAGTTAGTGGGAGCAAGGAGAAATTTTGTATGCATATATTAGTGAATTGGTAGATTATTAGAATTGGATTGACCTCGTCTTGTTGTCGGAGGGACCTTATCCTAAGTCCTCTGCCAGCAACCGATCGTGGATTTGGTACATTCTCAGACTTGTCGGGACTTCGGACAAGGTGCGTTCTACTAAGTCGCCCTGACAACAAAACCAAGTTGCGTAAACCAGGTCAACCCACTTCCATAAATCGAAAGAGAAATGCGACCATATCGAGGGCCACACCATCTTGGTCTTCATATCTTTGGTAGATGATTAGTTAGCCCTTGGCGAATGAACCAATTGTCAAAACGGTTCAAGGTGTTTTAGTTTTTCTCAACTGGATCAGCACTTGCTTGGTTGGGGAGAGGTTTGTGGTGTTGAGGATGTGTACCTACTAAAGCCTAGATTTGGTTAAAAAATTAGAGTAAATATTATTTGTCCTGACCAAGTCAAAACAAGTATCGAAAGTATGATGGACAGATTTGTGCGTTGAGTAGATGATGTTGAGATTGAGGAAAATTCATTCAGAGGTTGCGAGACAAGCAGACCAGAGCAAAAAGCAGTTAACAGAGGGCAATGAAGACAGTGAGTTTCCTAGATCTGTCTATGGATATGCAAGTCCAGTGGACTAAAAAGGTATATTATCCTCATGTGTTTCCAATGCTCGGTTAGGACATCAGCCAGACCATGCATAGCTTAGCTTCGGCCGGGATTGGTTATGCCTTTACTTATGCATACATCACTTTATATACATAGTCATTTATTTATATACATATATTTAGATTCATCCAATGGCATACAATAAAAATGAGGTAGAGGGTAAAGAATTAGTTCATACAATGCAGTTGGTGCATGACTTAGAAGACAGAGAGAGAAAAAGAAAGAAGCATGAGAGTAGGAGCCCTCAGAGAGGAGAGCGGGAGGACGAGTAGGGGAAAAAGAGACAAATGATGGGGTTGCAGCTTTGACCAACTCATCAGACTAATGCATCCCTCAGTAGGGGCATAGATTAGCACAGACTGAGCCAAAAGATAGGAAAGCTTGCTTGATGGAAGCGATATCAAAACGTCCTGAGTCGTCGTCTCCAACTCGGGATGACTGAAAGTGGCGACAATCGCACATGTAGGAAAAATGGGCTCCGATGTATACAGGAGATACAACTTTCAAGTGAAGTGAACCAGTGTGACAGTTGAACCAACACTAATTAGGAGAGTGCTGAAAGAAGGAACAGGACAGCTCATCTGCTGTCCTGGTCTACTGTCAGGATTACTTCTATCAAGGGGCCAGCTTGCAATAATAGGAGACAGGCGATGGGATAATGGCAGCGAAAGTGTCGGAATCGGGTTGGATCAAGCTGAAATTGTTGATGGGACCTGAAAAAATGTCTGCAATCCGACAAGTCGAAGAAGTCTTGTCCTCAATAGTCCAGCTAAACTTGCGCCAAAGTTCGTAATCTCATGTCAAAATATAAAAAATTTAAAATAGCTAACCCCATAAATGACATGTTTAGATGTGATAAATTAAAAGGTGCACGTCCTTGGCTCAAAGCCCGATGGAAGTAATACACTATGCCAGATACAACTCACGAAATTCATCTGTATGGCATGAAATCCGTAGGAGTGTTAAGGAGATTTTGTGAGGCCGGATGTAAAAAACAGAAATTCTACAAGAAACGCAAATCTTCTCTTTATGTCATTCAGGTCAACTTGGTCTTGGGGTCAGGGAGACTATGTAGAACGCACCTAGTCCGAAGTCGTCTGCCATAGTAGTTGTCATGATTCCCAGGATCTGATACTGGACTTGATACATTCTCAAACGTTTCGCCGGTATCATAGTCGGCATGATCAGTGAGATTTGCTATTCGCCGCACTAAGCTACGAACTCGTCAAGGAGACGAGTGAAACCAATCCCTCAACAAGTGTTTGAGAGGGTGCCAAGTCCACTGTCTGATGCTTGGAATCATGACAACTACTATGGCAGACGACTTAGGACAAGGTGCCTTTTACTAAGTTACCCTGACAACAAGAGCAATTTGCAACAACGAGGTCAACCCACTTATATAAATCGAAAAGAGACTGCGACCAAACCAGAGGCCACAACATCTTGTTCTTCATATATTCAAGTAAAGTTTTAATGTTTAGGGTTTTCTTTGTTAGGCTGACAATCCGAAATATTTTAGTTGCTGTCGCTGCAAAAGTCCCCACCAAATATGTTGGTTGAGAGACGCCGTTTTATCTTGAAATTCACCCGGAGCGTATAACTCTATGAGGCTAGGGTTGTGCGTTTCAGGTCAACACATACACGCTTCGGAGCCCGCTGGTGATGTTGTTGTGATTGAGAGGAGAGCAAAATTGTACTCTCACCCTGAGCTGTATGGCGAAAAGAATTTCTGTAAAAATCAAGCTTCCTCTTCATTGCATATTTAGTGATACCATATAATTGCATAACGAATCCTTATGAATCAGATCAACTGAACAGTGTCTCAATTGCGCTAGTCAAGTCCTAGCATTTGCTTCATGCTACACTCTTTTTGAAATAGGATTTCTTAGTTCTTGACTGTCTTAGGAAATGCAAATCATCTACCATGAAATGTACAGTTATGTCATGTGTAAAAACAACCAAATTACCGTATATGCACGTGTCCAAGAAAACAAGAGACTGGATGAAATCAGCCATGAGATTTCCTCTCCTGTCACCATAACTACTCACTCCTTTCATATCCGTTGAAGTCGTGCGCAAATACCCTTCCGGTACTCAGTCAGCATGTCTCTGAATTTGGTCGTAGTTGTGAGGAATGCTGATCTATTCTCCTTCTCCCCTATTCCATGTCTGAGACGGCATAACCCCGGAAACCTATGCACACTAACAGGGATAAATTGGAAGCACATAAACACACACACGTGACGGTTGCCCCACTAACCTGTCAATTAGACAGATCTTTTCGTGTCTTGTCCCTTTCAGCATAAAGAGTGTCTTCCTCTAGTCGGAAGTATAGGCCGGTTATGGCCGATTGACATGTGGATGGAGAGCGGAGTCTAAAATAGTGCAGGAGGTCAGATAACCCGGTACCAGTCAGCATAGGCTCCAGCTTGGCGGGCAGAAGGTCAAGCCTTCTTTTGCCCACCCCATAGCACATAAGTCGGAGACAGGCTATGTTGTCATGCCAGTGACAATCCGACAATTTGATAAGTTAAAAATACAGAAGAAAGTGACGACCTTTTGGCTTTTGCAAAACTAAAGATTAGATAACAGAATATTGGAAGTGCCAAGGGATCAAGGTGTAGGCATTTTTATCAAAATAGAAAAACTATATGAGTTGGGAAAAAAAGAATAAAGAAATAGTGAAAAAGTCAAAATACACGTAATGTCAGGCCAAACTATGCTCAAACTGAAAGAAGTCGACTTTCGTGACAACATTCTTCTTCTACGCTCGAGTGCGACTCTTATATGTCCTCATAAATCCAGTTGATTATGCCTTATTTCTTATCATTTTTACAACACACCTTCACTAAGGATTACAGGCTTACTTATTCACCTTTTCCAGGTCAAACGCCACTCAGATCTTTGTTTCATGAAACTTTTGAACCCCCAAATGGCGATGGTTAGAGAAGTGTATCGAGTTTAATATCAAGCACTCGGATGGCTATCTGTGAAAAATTCCCTTAAAAATGTCGTAAGGTGGGATAGGCTTGTCCTGATTTAAAGGTACACTCATTTTTAAATGTGACGTGGCTAATG